ATATATATACATATATACATAATACGTATTGTTTTTTCATGGTTCAGAATTCCTACCCTTAGGCAGGTCATAGAAACTAGAATTTCCCTTCCCCAGCACCAGGCATAGAAACTCTAATCTTTGCCTGCATTTCTAAGAGCAGTCAATAAATTTTCTGATCTTTGATAGTAGGTTGTAAGACCTTCCTCATTCCAGCAGGGTCCTACCTAATAACCTTGAAGGAATAATGCTGCACAGGGAGGCCAAGAATAACTAAATAAACAGGCCGTGTTAGATTTCTCCATTCATTAGGTTATCACTAGATCATACTCATTTTGTCCAATCACATTTTGACATGGTTGTCCATTATTGAGTCATGCCTATGCAATGAAGTCTCCATTAAAAGCTCAAGAACAGGATCTAGAGAGATTCTGAATAGCTGAACATGTGAAAACTCATAGAATATGGCACATCTGGATAAAATAAAACAGGTAACACCTAAGGAGACAGGAGACATGGATTCTTAGGCCTTAACCCATGATGTGTTACTCATTAGAGATAGGTACATCTTTTTTTCCTTGCTGACAGTGTGTAGAATATACGCTCTGCTGATCCTCTACTCTGTTGCAAAGACCATGTTCCTGTAACAGCAGGGGAAAGGTCAGGATATATCCAAGGGTGAGAACTGCCACTAATCCATATCCCACAGAGGAAATCCCCTCAAATATGGAGCACCCCAAAATGCCATTAGTTATGACCCAGTGGAAATGTGCAGCCATCAACCTACCCCAGCAAAGCCATAAAAACTAGTCCCTTCTTTTAATTTTATTAATTAATTTAATTTTATTATAATTTAATGAGCCAGTCTGATTCTTGTTATCAGAGCTGGGCCTCCTTTGTGTATCTTCAAGCTAATACTCCATTTCCTAATTTTTCTTAGTTTCAAAATGCCTAATACTTCTGCCTATCTCTCACTGATGAGTCATGAAATTCTTTTTCTATGACAAATGCCTTACTTTTTTCATTGCTGAGACAAATACTTGACATTCAAAGTTAACGGAGTAAAGGTTTATTTGGCTCACAGTTTGTAGAGATTTTAGTCCATAATCTGTAGACTCCAAGGTAGGGTGGCATGGCAGACAAGCATCACAGAAGAGATGGTGGGCAGAAGTAAGCAGAGCAAGCAGGGGACCTTAGCAGATTTTTTCTCCCTCTTTTATACTCTCGTCTAGGCTACCAAGATTAGAGTGGTGTCAAACCAATCAGTGGACTGATTAAATAATCACACACCCTTAACCTCAGCATCACACACTCTAGATTCAGCCACCTCTGAAGAAGCCCCACCTATGACCACATGAAACTTTAGGGGGACATCTAGACACAAACCATAACGAGTTAAAAAACTTACTTCAAAGGGGAGGCAAGTTGAAGCCTCTGTTTTGTCTTTGTAGAACCTCCTTAGACTCCAGTGACTTGCCAATTTCATGATTTCCACCTGCATTGAGCTAAAAACCCCATGGTTTACTGGTAACATGGAGGAAGCATAGAAACTCCATGTCTTCCAAAGTTGGATGAATACAACTGTTCATCTTTGTATTTTGTAATTTTTTTATATAATAAACCAGTACATTAAGCATTCCCTGAATTCTGCGAGCTGCTCAGATTAACTGAACCCAGGAGGAGGTTTTCACCTCAATTTAGAGCTCAGAAGCACAAGGAAAATAAATTGACACACAGTCTTGGAGCTGAGCCTTAGCTTGTGGGATCTGATGTTATCTCCAGGTAGGTAGTATCTGAATTGAATTGGAGCACATCCAGCTAGTGTTCTCACAACAAGAATTAATTTCTTGCTTGGGTTATGGGGAAGAACTCCATCTGTCTGTTAATTGACAGTGATCTTTATTGTGAGTATAGTAGGAGAAACTGAGTTTGAGTCAGACTTTTTTTTTTTAGTATAGTACTATTGACATTTTGGTCAAGATAATTCTTTGTTACAGGGATTAACTTGTGCATTGTAGGATGCTCACCTACATCACTGGCTTCTATCCACTGGTTACACCATTTCCTCTGTTTCAGAATGCAAAATTAACTCTAGGTATTGTTAAATATCCACAGAGGTTGATATTAAGCAACTTGTCAAATGAAAAGATGAAAATGTTGTCTGTGCAAACAATACAGTAACCATTAGCTACACAAGGTTACTGAGACTTATGCAATTAAACTGAATTTCAAGTTTTATTTTAATTTCAGCCAAATTTTAATAGCCACATATTGCTAGTGGCTGCTGTTTTAGTGCAGATCTAGAGACTTTTGGCCATCGTACAGATTTGGGCTTTAGTTTTTACCTCTGACTTCATTTCCTATTACAATGTTTTCCTGCTGTTTGTACCTTCATTCAGGTCCCTGTTACATCTTTGTTCTTGCTGTTTCACCTGACTATGTAAGATATCTGAAGAGCTCTTTCCCTAACAGTATTCAAGTCCCTGGTTCAGTTACTTTATCATACTTTGTGGTGGTGCATACCTGTAATCCCATTACTCTGAGTGGCTGAGGCAGGAAGATCATAAATTCAAGCCAATCCTGGCTACTTAGCAATTTAGTGAGATCCTATCCCAAACCAGAAAAGATTAAAAAGGGCGGAGGATATAGCCCTATTTGAAGGCCCTAGTTTCAAACCCCAGTACTTTTTAAAAAATCAGTTTATGAGAAGATTGTCCTTTTTAGTCACAACCAACACCTTGCTTATTCCTGTTTCTTATCCACTTTATTTTTCTCCATACCACTTACAATGTATTGTTTGTTGCCTCCTTTCCTTCTCCACAGTAGCTTGTGAGGCAGTGATTTTTGTCTTTTCATTGCCTTATGAGCAAGTCTGGCACATGGTAGGCTGTGAACCCATTAAACTGAAAAATAGTGATCTAACTTGCCTCAAGCAGACCCCCTTGCTATGATCAGTACACTGAAGAAAGACAAGAATAAAGGAAAGGGAGCCCAATTAGAAGAATATACAATAGTCCAGTGTTTACATTTAGTAATTTAGTAAAATAGAAGCCATTTTTCCCCAGTGTATTGTATCCATCAATAGGGATAAACTTTTTATTATAACATATATTGGATTCATTCTTAGAATCCAGATATATAGCTAAAATTTACGTCCCTGTAACCCATTTATTATTAAAATCAGTATAAATTTTATATTATGCTCCGTGCTTTGGTGTGGATATGGGATTGAGTTCTCCAAACTTTTCTGTGCTAGAACCTGTGTCAAAGTAATGGGAGTCTTAAGAAATGATCAGCATAACCCTTGGAAGGGATCAACATGTTCACAGCAGAGCTGTACATGCATAGTTGTCTCATCAGGCAGCTGTACCCCCTGATGGGACTGTCCCGTGCTGCCAGATGGGACAATCATGCATGTACCACTGCTGATTCAAGCCACCAGCAGTGGGTTAAAGTAGCTTTTGAAAGAATTTCCAGAGGGAATTTGTTATAAAAGGATGCACCTGGGCCACCCTATTTCCCTGCTTACCACACTTGCCTGTTCACACTAGTTCCTTTCCACTTCTTCACTCTACTGTGATACAATCAGTGTGGTACTGTGCTGTTTGGACTTGCCAGCCACCTAAATTATTAAGCTAAATAAATCTTCTAGTACATTTTTCAGTGTAAGGTATTTTGTTACAGCAGGACAAAACAAAGACTTAATTTGGTTATCCAAACCCCAACAACTTGCCTGTATACCTTGACAATCATTATTCTGAAAATGGATCACATTTAATCTAAGATCACATGACCTTAAATCAGACTGAGAATTTTAGATGTTAGAATACTTTAGAACTGTTTCCAAACATGTTTGCTATGTGCAAATTATTTTAACCTATTATTTATTCTGTCAGTTTAAATGCTATCTCATTGCATTACAAAGGTGTTATTTTTTTTAAAAAAAGCCTAAATTTTTCCAATTGTAAGTTATAGTGAAGACTACATAGGATTTTTCTTTGTTAGTGACCCACAGATCCTTCATACCCAAGAACATCAATTTTGGTTATGGACTATTTATTGATTTAATCATTTCCCTACTGAAATACTTTGCAGAAAGTAATTTTCATCATGATTGTTTTTTTCTGGTGTTAGGGATCGAAATCAGGGCTTCACATATGCTAAGCACACACAGTACTATTAAGCTGCACCCTCAGTCCTTTTAAGACAGGAAGTCCCCTCTGTTTCCCAGCTTAGCCCCAAACTCCTAGGCTCAAGCTGTCCTCCTGCCTGAGTTTCCAGAGTAACTGGGTCTACAGGTGTGTACATCATGACAAGCATATTCTAAAACTTTAAAATGACTTCAGTTTTCCTTTTTAAATTCCATGAGAAAATCTATCGACGGTATTGCTCTTGGAGAATAGTAGTGTTTCGTATTTTAATCTCTACCAGGTTTGCATGGTAATGTATCACACTGAAACCACACACCTGAAATAATTTTAGTAACCAGTATTCTAGCAACTGTTATTCCTGCATATAAGCATTAATTACAATGTGAAAAATGTCTATATTCTGTAAACTTAGATTTTATATGTTTAAAAGTCATACAATAGGGGCTGGGGATTTAGCTCAGTGGTTCTACCACCTGCCTTGCAAGCACAAGGACCCGAATTTGATCCCTATACCAAAAACAAAACAAAACAATAAAAATCATACAATGATTTGAATTAGTACTAACTGAAATACCCCATTTTTATGAGACAAAGCTGAAAGTTCTCATTTCATATATACCTTAGATAAGCTTGATTTCTATTAAAATCAGTGTACTACATAAAACTGAACACTTGCATTATCAACAAGGACATTTTTTATTGAACAAATCTATGTACAGTACAAAAATTTCTTGAAATGAGACACTATTGTTGATTTATTGCAGTTCAATGGCTCAGTTTTAATTTGTACTCTTATAAAATGCAAAGTAAAATAATTTAATATCAACAAGGAAGCACAATTTTCCTTTCTTGCTGAATCTGTAATATCTTTCACATATTAACAATTTCAAAATGCATACACAGCATTTACCCATTCTGAAAAGGTGTTTTACAGTACCAAATAAATTAAAAAATAAACACTATCATCCCTTTTAGATTTTTCATTCATACATTAGACCAAACGTGAAAGTGTGTCTGAACGTTCAGTGTGATTTGAAAAGAATCAAGTTCAATGATATAAATTATGTATGCATTATATAATTGGTAATTTTAAAAAATAACAATATGGCTAAAGCCCAAAGTACCAGTGTCCTTATCCAGAGATCCCCTTTTCTACATCCACTATAATGTCTGAGCAGCAAAAATTCAGATTTGCTCTTTTCTTGACCTTACTGACAGAGCAAAAGGTTACCATTTAATTTTTTGAAGGAAATTTTTATTTAAAAACAAAACTTTAAAACTTTTTCTATTTAAGATAAACATACCCTTAAAATAGTAGAAAAGCTGAGAATAAGAAGCTTCCTTTTCTTTTGAATCCCAGCTAAAAACTGTTTTAAATTTATGCACCCCATAAAAGCAGAACGATGTAGGTTTTAGAAGACACAGCAAGATACACACATTCTTTCAGTATTCATGTGTGACATATATAAAGAGGTTAAAACAATGTAATCAAAGAGAACTTTATGATATTTCTTGACTTAGTTGTATATAAACCAGTTTAATCTTTCAGAAAATTTTCTCCTAACAACACAAAAGTAGAAATAAAACCTCAAATTAAGTTTAAGGACTTAATAATTTAAATGTTTAAAACATCTTAACATGAACTTCAGAATTAATTGTGGGAACAGATTTATGCCAATAGTTACAACTTGTAAAGAAGTAAAATGTGGTTAAACGTTGTTTTAAACTTCTGGAACATCTACAAAGCAGAAATTATATTAAAAAAAAAAAACTTCACTGTCCAAATGAACCAGGTTCCAAATAGTTTTTTATTATATGGTGTCCTTTCAGAATAAACCAAAATAAAATTCACTTATTACATTATTAGTATCAGGAAATATGGAAAACATTCTCTTTAAATTGACCTTAAAATATTTAAAAACTTGATTATGAATTATGTTATCTATATGTAAATTGCAGCCTAATATAGGCTATATGATGAAACAAAAAATTATTTTATTGGAATGGATTCTTGACTATCATTGCATAGTTTTGAATGTCCATGGTAAATAATCTAATAAAATTAAGATTTTTTTGATTATCTGATATACCATGACCTGGAAGTCATAATTTGATAAAATCTGGATGCTACCCTGAAGAAAAGTAACCTCACTGAAGAATCTCTAATAGTCTACAATTCACAATAGTAGAGTCTGATAGGATTCTCAGTCTCTAAACAAAAATTTATTAGTTGGCATAAATGGAATATTTAGTTGACAGTATATTACAAGGTCTGTTTTCAAAGAATTTGCCTTTGCATTTTTGTTTTCTATCTTTTAGATTAACATAATATACTATTAGGTAAAAGGAGGTCTTTATTCTTTCAATAATGGGGATGGAACACATTCAAGATTTTTTAAAAATATTTATTGTTTAAATAATTAAGTTAAAATCTTTCTTAGGAAAATTACTAGTCACTAAGGAAAATAATGCATTAATATATCTCATCATGTTCCTGCTGTGCAAATTTTTGTGTAAATACTTCCCTAAATAAAAGTTTATTCAGACCAAATTCATCACTAATGAATAAAAAGCATGGGTGGTATGGCTTATTTTGGAATTAACTCTAACTGAATGAAATAAATCAATTATTAACCTGATTTTTTGTTGACAATTTTCAATCAGTTATTTTCATAGGACTATACTTAGATAACTCACACTAATGTCTAAAGGACCTCACTATGACTCACCAAGCAATGTCCTAATACTATATACAAATAAAAATATCCCAGTGTACTTTAACCATTTTTCACATTGAAGAATTTGCAATTCAGTGTTTTCTTTCAACTGTACAGCCTGTACAGGTCTCAGATTCATCCCATATGCTGCCAAAGTTACTGATGGTACTTTTTCCTTTTGACATTGTTGCCTTTTAAATATAACTGATTTGTATTACAGACATTTGTATTTGTATTAGAAAATGGATGAGCTTAGCAAGAGCTTATTAGCAAATCATTCATTGAGCTCTGACTTAATCATCTGAAATATGTTAGGATCTTTGATAGATAACGTGATAAAATGATAAATTTTTATTTCTATGTATCACCTTCTAAATTGTACCAAACAGCAGTGGTTCCTTATAATATGTATGACGAGAAGGGAGGACACAATCTGATTATGCATGAAAAACAAAACAAATTTCATTTGTAGAATGCTTTACATTGTTTATTATTGTAAACCAGCTTTCCTTTCATCTCCTTTTATAATGGGTTAACTTTTTCCTTTTTGTAAGGCCATGTCGGCTTTTCCTTTTTAACTAGTTGTCCAAACATGTTTTCACATAAACAAAACTGAACATGCTGCTATTAATCATCATAAACTTCTAAAAACTGTGGTTTTCTGGATAACTGGTACTTTGGGAGTTGTATAATAACCCTTTTGGAGTCTTAGCCAGCACATCTCTGCAAGTTCATTCTAGAAAATGTGCTTTTTCTTTATCTTTAGTAATCCGAGACCGCTCTAAAATTAAGGCCATCAGGGAAATAGCAAACTGATGATGCATTTTTCTTGTAGTGCTTTTTTTCACACTACTGTTTGATCGACAGATCTTTCTGAAACATTTTTATCAGGCACCTGTAAAACAGAATACTTCTGTTAATTCATATTTTATAGATATTCAAGAATTCTAAATCAATTGTCAACAAAATTTATACCCTCACTCAAAGTATACTGATATTAGTAGAAAGACAAGCATTTCTTTTGCTCCTATTGTTTTTCAATTATTTTGATTCTTTTTTTAACTTCTGTTTTCGTAATACAAAATTTACCTTGTGGCATACAGAGAAAAATAATTTTTAAGAAAATTATTTAGTTCCTAGAACTTTTGTTATATGAAACCTAGAATGAAGAAAAGCCTCTGATACAGTGAAATAGGATAAATATATGGAAAACCAGTGTCCAAGTTCCAATTTTCACAAATAGGCTTATGCCTATGTAAATTATTTAACTTATGAATTTCAGTTGTCTGATCTGTAAAACAGAATACTAAATATAATGTCGTAGTGATTATGAAGAAAATAATGTCTGAGTAATGCTTTACCATCTGTGCTACACAAATGTTAATTTTTTTAGCCTCATTAAGACCTCTTATATTTATGGCACTTTCTGTTTCGACAGACTTATCTACTGAGAGCACAGAAGACTTACTTTCATCATCTGAATCAAATCCAAAGAGTGTCTGACATTTCTTTTGTGCAAGGTGAGCCTCAAGTGCTTCTGCATTACAGTAGGTGGTCAGGCATTTGCCACATCTTAATCTTTTGACTGGTTTTTTATAAACGTTATCTTGATCAGAATTGGCATCTACTCTATCTGTCAGAAATTTTCTGCGTTTTGGCATACTAAGATACCGTTCATCAAGGTAACTGGGAGGCAATGGTCTGACATATGGCTTTGTTAAAATTAAGCCATATGAAGTATGTTCACTTGTAACATTTGGTCTGGATGGTGCCTGAGATACTGGCAGGGTATTATTTTCTTGTACAACACTGGGCAAAACAGAACCATTTTCTGTCCTGTTTGTATCAGTTTTCAAAACAGAATCTGATGAAACTAAAGATGTTTGTTCCATTTCACTGTGTCCATTGACTGAATCACTAATACTACAGCTATTTTCAGAATTTGGCTCTATGTCAGGCATCTTTTGGTCTATCAAGCTTATATTTGAAACAGTGTCATCAGAACGTTCATTTCCATTCTGAACTAAACTTTCTGTTTTCTTTTCCAAACACATCTTTTCTATACATGTCTTTGGTTGTGTACAGTCTTTTCTTGATTTGCTAGAAGCTGGCAAACTAACAATTTGTTTCTCATTACTAGATGAGTCTATTTCCAGATTAGGATTTGACTCTGTACAAACATCCAAAAGAATTGCTTCACTTGGTCGTGCAGATGATTCTGGTGTTTTACTTAAATAGTGCTGGGCTTCATGTTCATATAGCAGAGGAAGATCTTCAAAAAGCTCATGGCATTCTGGAAAACTGCACTGAGCTTGAAATATCCTGTGACTTTTTGTGTGCTGGGCAAGCTGGAATGGCAATTTAAAGGACTCATTGCAATTAAAATGCAAACAGAAGTACACATTTGGATAGCTGTGTCTATTTAGGTGATCAATAAAATGCTGAGAATCTTCAAATTGCCTTTGGCAAAATTTGCATTTTCCTCTGCTCCATTTCATTACTGTTTGTCGCACATTTAAATCAGTTGGGTGTACGGTCCTTGCATGTGTATTTAGAAATCCAATTTTTTTAAATATCCTGACACAGCCAAGGGCAGGGCACTTAAAGTTTCCTTCTTGATCAGTAGCATATATGTCTTTTGGATGGCACACAGTTCCATTGATTTTATGAAGTACTGATGTTTCTTGATTCAGGTCATAATCCTCTTCTTCAAAATCACATTCTTCATCTTCTTCTTCATAGTCACATGGAGGTAAAGGCTCTGAGACATTGTTTAAAGAAGTATCGGGACTGTCATTTTCAATTATACCTTCTGATACACCTATGGGGATTTCAGTGAATTCAGGAAGTTGCTCAGATATGATTTCTTTCTTTCCATCAATAGAAGGAATCAGAGTCTCTACTTCGGAATCGTTATTATTAGAATTCCCATTTTCAAATGAAATGGAAGAACTGGAACAATTTATTTCTTCTAAAGCAGTGATTTCCTGATCATCCTGTTGAGCTGCAGCAATTTGCTGTCTTTGTATCTTCTTAACATGATTCTTTAAATGTTTCTGCATAAGTCCTCTGTTTCTAAATTTCCTACCACATATTACACATGAAAAACTGCCTTTCTTCTGATGAGCTTGGGCATGTCTTACAATGTGACCACCAAGAAATTCCTTATTACATAACATGCAACGATGCCTTGGGACATTGTGATCTACTTTGGACATATTAAGAACTGCAAGGTTTTTCTTTGTATTAACATGACCTTTAGGTTGCATTACAGATAATTCATCAGGATCATTTTCTCCAGTGCTCTGGTCTGTAAGAGAGTCAAACTCTTCATCTAAACCTTGCTCTTCCACTGTCTTTTTTAGATTATCTGTAGAGTTTTCCAGTGTACTTTCATGTAGAAATCTAACTGCTGATTTGTCACTCAGTAATGCCACACAGTTTTTCTTAATCATTACAAAGTTCCAAAATTCAGGATCAAAAAACAATCCCTTTTTCAAAATTGGAAGTAATTCAAAACGAACACGATTTTGAACACTACTTGTGCCTTCATTATATTCTTCATCTGGGCGTTTATAAAGCTCTTCAACAGTACGATAAGCTTCTAAGGAGCGCTCAAGAAAAAATATTGAGAGTGCACAAATCCTGAGGATTTCCAAATCATTTGGCAAAAAATGTGCGATTGTTTTATAAATTAGACATTTAGTTTTAGGATCATCATGAAGGTCGAGTTGTAGAGCACAACCGCATATTTCAACACAAATTTGCAAACCTTCTTCAACCTATTAAAAAAAAAAAAAAAGATTGCATTAACCACTTTACTTTTTTAAGAAAAACTGACAGGAAAGCTTTCAGCATGTAGTATTCCAACATGCAATTTTCCTCATGGTGGCACTAGGTCTTGTTTAATATGTATCTTTTTATAAGCAAGAGTAATCTGGAATCAATAGCATTTTAGCTTCCATGTTATTGAATTACCAAGTTTGACAAGCTTTACTAACCATAATACAAAATGCTGGATAAACTTAATAGTGACTAACATTTCTTACAATTCTAGACTCTACTTTTAACTAGATATAACAATTTTCCATGTTAAGAAGTAACTGAGTTTAAAAGAAGCATTTATAATGCTATAGAAGAGGACAGTTATTATCTTTCCAAAACTAATAAAGCATCAAAGTATCAAGCCTACTGAGAATTATACATGCCTAAATTAATTAATTAATTGGGGGTGGGGGTTTGGTGATTGAACTCAGGACCTTGTCTTGCAAGGCAGGTGTGTTGCCACTGTGCTAAATCCCCAGCCCCTGAAAATTCTTATTGATGACTCAAAGACAACTGTATTAGCTTATTTTTTACTTGTGAATCTGTTGTTGCTCAATCTTAGTTCATGTTGCAAATAATACTTCTAATGGTTTGGAATAATCTAAATATTTGTTTGAATAGGACAAGATAACAGAATGGTATGTCTTTAAAATCATACTGCCTGCATATGCTCATTAATTATAGGGAAGATTACTTATTTGCCAGCCTCATGTCTTTATAGTTCTTTACATGTTATGTAACGTTTAGCTACATACAGTTTCATAAGTAGACCTTAATTTTGCACATACTATTCCCACTTTATCCAGCTAGTACATTCCTACTGATCTCCTATTCATTATTTGAGAATCAGTTCTACTCTGAAGGCTTCTCTTCCCATACATTCTGGCTCCTCCTTTGAGGCGTAGTTAACACTCCATAGTCCCTCCAATAACAATAGCATATCTCTAAGAAGCACTTACATATTGTTTTATAACTGTGTTTGTTTGGTCCTACCTTCACTTTGAATTCATAAATCACTGTAAACAGTATCTCACTTTTTGTGTCCTATGTTTATCATAGATGTTAGTACATAGCAATCTCTGAATGTTTGCAAAATGAATGGGAATCAGATCTATTCCAGTGACTTTAGTTTGCTATTATAAACCCATCATCTCAGGCTTCGATTCCTTTCTGAATTCAAATTTCTGTATCATAATTAATTTCCCTACCCAGATTTTCCAGATATAACAATTTCAAAATCCACTGTTCAGCATAAATTTCTTCTCTGTCTTTCTCTTTAGTTAAAGATTGGAATGTACTCAGATGTTCAAGTTTTAAAATTTTAAGATCAAAAAAATTTTAAGATCAACAAAGGGAACAGGCTTCTTCCTTACATAAAACTCTATTTTAAAAAAAAATATTTAATTTTATCCCATTCCCTCCCTCAAGCCCCCCTCCCCTCCCTATGTACAGAAGCTTTGTTTCCATTCTTTCCCTACTATTTTCACTTCTTATCCTTTCCTTTCTTCCTTCCTCCTCCTCCCTTGTTCCCTTTGCCATTTGAATACTTTCTTCCCATTTCCCAACATCCATTATATGTCTCAGTCCTTATTTCTACTTTCAGTTTCTCACATCAGAGAAGCAATGCCCTTACCTGAAACTCTTTAATGGTTTCAGGACATTTATGAATTGAAATCACAAACTTCAGTGACACATTCAGGTCATTTTAGGACCTACAGCCATGCCCCATGCTCCCAGTAGTCTCTCCAATTAATCTCATCTCCCATCTATTTCACCATGCTTCTCACCATACGACTGGACAGTTGTGAAACACAAATAATAAAATGAGAAAGAAACTTCTCTGTAAACTATAAAACCCTCTACAAATGTTAATGCTGTCTTCATCTATCGTCCAAAACCCATTTTAAAGCACCTTCCTCTGTGAAGCGTTTTCCGATATGCCATGTGTAACGTCTTATTCTGAACACAGTATTTTAACTGCATATGCCTCTTTCAGTACTACTGAGGCACATGAATGATATTCTATCACATAAAAACATTTTTTGTAGAATATAAACAATTAAAACCCTATTAGTAATATTTTTTGGTATATGTTTGTAGTATGTATTTACATTCCTTGTGTGGAGTTGGTACATGTACATAACACATTAATTCCTTTTTACATCCCCTTTCCCTCCACTCTTTCCCTTTCCCTCCATCTCTTGAGCCCCTTCTCATTTTAAAAAGATCTATCTCCATACTTATCTTTTATTTTGCTCTTTATTTATAATTTGGATTTTCTCACATAAGAGAAAACAAGCAATACTTAAGCTTGTCATCATCAAGAAATCAAATACAGTAATAACAAATGCTGGCAAGGCTGTGGGGAAAAAGGAATCTTTCTACATTGTTGATATGAATGTAAAGTAGTACAAGCACTATGGAAGTCAGTATGGATATTCCTCAAAAAACTGAAACTAGAAATTCCATTTGACCCAGCTATTACCCTTCTAGGTATCTTCCTGAAAGAGTTAAAGATATATTACAGTGATACATATATATCCATGTTTATAGCAGCACAATTCATAACAGCTAAATCTTGCAAACAGCAACCTATATGTCCATCAACAGATGAATGGATAAAGAAAATGCGGTGTTTACACACAATGGAGTACTAGTCTACCATAAAAAATAAAAACTGTAGTCATTTGTAGGAAAATGGACACATCTTGAGACTATAATGTTAAGAATCATATCTTTATGACATTTTCCTTACGTAATTTACTTTAGGCTGACCAAACGTGAAAATAAGCAAGATCTAATAATTAACACAGTGTAAACTCTCTGTAATAGCTCTCAACTTTTAGTGCAAATGAAAATCATAGGTATATATAAATACATTTATTTTTAAAGATAAAGTTTTATGGGTGATTCTGATGAACAGATATTAGTGTTCTGTAACACAGTTTCCCCTTTTTTTGATGACTACATATGAATGACAGTTTGGTAGTTAATAAGGACTGTGAATGCAGTTAGCAAAAGAAATTAAAGTTTTTTTTTTTAAACCTCCCTTATAACACTTAACTTTTTATTATGAGAATATGATCACTGTTTGGTCAAAATATCTAATGAATAACGATAATGAATGTGATAAATGCCATAAGTATATTAAAAAGGTAAATGGTACTATTTAATGGATACTTATTTACATATTTGAACTGTCTTTGTATTTGAAGTCTTGTTAATATTTGGGAGGAAGCTACAATAAACTACATATTTAACTGATGTATGTTAATCTATTTAAAAGTAACCGACTTTTAAAGACTCAAATAGAACTACAAAATATAGGATGGCTTTATCTTTCTTATCTTTGTATTTAAATTCATGTTAAATTTGAGAGGAAGTTAAGTCTATAAGGTCTACTTTACAAGTATATATAAAATTTCTATGTAGAATTACACTCATTTGCAATAGCCTTGTTATGATTTGTATCTGTGTTCACCTAGAGCCTCATGCACTCATAAGTGGGGCTTTCAGGAGGAGACTGGATCATGTGGGACATTTTGGGAGATGAATGGATCATGAGGGAAAATATGTCTACATTTTGCTGTGTCCTGAGACATTGAAGGAAACTGATATTAAGGGCAGCAGATTAATGTGACAGAAGAAATTTCAAGGCAGTTTAATGTTGAGGAAATGGTATGGCTACTTTTGGGGGCTTTTGTCCAGCTCTACCTTGAGGATCTAGACCAAATAGCCCAGTAGAATGATTTGAAAGTTTTGAGTTTGGCCAGAAAGAAAGCTTTGATAAAGTTGTAGCCCATAAAGATGGAGGAGAGGAGATCTTGGTTGCTGAAAAAGATTAGCATTAAAAAGACAAGTGCTTTGGAACAGGACAATAGAAAAGATGACTCAAAATTGAAAAGAGATTTGCTTTGAGAAGAGAGCCCTAGGGCACCATGTACCAGAATGGCAGCAGCCTAGTGAATGGGTATTAACTCCCCCAAATTGAGTTCACTGTGCTGAGCCATCTAGGCACAAATGAGTCCTTTGAAACCACCAGCATGATGTAAAAGGGCTCAACTACTGATTGCTCTACCTGGTGAGAGACCTTGGCTTCATCCACATGGTGCTGATTTCAGGCACATGCAGAATGTAAGAGTTGTAAGGTCAGGAAGGCTTCCACCCATATTTCAGAAGGAGGCCTGGGAGGGCAAACAGTGTGACCCTGAGAGGTCCGTGCATGAAGCTGTGAGGGTGGAGCCCATTCATTGGAGACCTAGGATGCTGGAAAAGCCAGGAACATGGAATATAGGAGGAAAGCTGTTGAGTTATGAGCAGAGCTGGCCCAAAATAGAGGCCATAGGGGTGGGGACATCCAAGTCCTTTAGAGTTTACATTTCACCAAAGATTGCCCTAGATGCTGGACACAGAACTGTGGGATTTAGTTTGCCCTGCTGAATTTAGGTCTTACTTTAGTCCCATTCCTTTGTATTTCATTTCTCCTTTTTGGAGTAGGAATGCTTAGGCTGTGAAGTTGTAAGTTTTTAACTTTTTTTTTTTTTTTTTTTCATTTGTATAGGAGCTGACAGTTTGCTTAAATCTCAGAGGAAACTTTGGACTTAAGATTTAGCAATGCTGAAACTGCTAGAACTTTGGCAACTCTTAGAAATAGACTAAATACATTTTGTATAGGGATATTTTTGTGGGGCTAGGGGTGTGCTGTTAGGGTTTATATCTATATATGCCCCTAAAACTTCCTGTGCTCACAGGAGGGGATTTTGGGAGGTGATTGGATCATGGGGGCATAATACGCATTAGTGGATTAGTGAATGTGATTTGGGAGGGGAAGCTTGGTTGGAAGAGGTCAGTCACTGGAGGCATGGCCTAGAAGGATCTGTCTCCTCCCTCCCTACTTTGATCTGTCTGCTTTTTGAAGATATGTCTATTTTTTTCTCCTCTGCCTTCCTACCCTGCTTTTGATCCAGCCAACTATGGACTGAAACATAAACTGTGAGCCAAAATAAACCTCCCCTCCTTCAAATTATGGGTATAAGGTGTTTTGTCCCAGCATGAGAAAGTAAATAAAATGGCCCCCCCAAAATTTGGTTGAGAACTGTTTTAAAAAATGGGTAACGAAACTTTATAATTATTTCAGATAAACACCTTAAAAACTGTCCTAAGTTTTAAAAACATCTCAGAATTAATTTTGTTCTTTTTGACACAAACACAAGTTAGCAGTATGAGCTACGTTTCTGCTACAGTTAAAAACATTACATATAAAGTTCATCTGCAAATTAAAATTCTACAAATGAGACTTAGCATGGTAAAATGACAAGCTTATTTAATCATAAAAGTGGATAATAGCTTTTTATGTAAATAACAGTTCCCATATTAAATTTTAAGTAACAATAAATTGACTTCTTTTCTCTATGTCAGTTATTGTCTTTACGTATATCTTGTGGACTGTGTTGGAAACTGGGGAGAGGAGGAGGTAATACATGGAGAATGTGGCCTTAACATCCTCCTTACCTTCAATTTTATAATCAAATTTTATAAGAGATTGATGTTTTGGTGAACTGTCATTTGAATTTAATTTAAAATTTAAGGGATAAATATATCCTATTTACCTCGTCTTTAATGATTTTCATGAAAGGAAATATGACTCTCACATTAGTTGCTGTTCTTAAAAGCTGGTAGCATTGATCTACAAAAACTTGTTTTGAAGGATTAGATTTAAGCTGTAGTTTACTCCATATGAAAATCAACTCCCTGTAAATGAAAAAAAAGAGAAATATCAAAACTGCAGTTTATTAAAATATAGACATTAGCCATCTTTTCCTGATTTTATAATGCCCTGGCTAGGATATTCACAAAGTGGAAATAAATATGTACTATGTTACTCCCCAACATGCTTTTGCTACTGATATGAGACTAACAGAAGTTGGGAAAAAAGGCAAAATGTACAATTTTGCAGTGATTAAGAAATGAATTCCAATCATATGCCAGCACACTTAAAACATCACTATTATTGGATAAAAACACATTTTAATCCCAATGTTCCAATATTGATGATATAACTTTGGCCTTTAACATCATATTTGCAAATATAGAAACCAATGTTGTAGGCTGTTTCAATTAACATACCAAAAGTAATACTAAAAATAATAATGTTAAAAGTTAATTATATGATATACTGATTCTGAAATTGTATGTTTTAGATCATTTGATTTTAGTATGATTGAAAAATAGTGAATTTTTAAATTTTTAAAAAAATTATTATAGTAAAAGGCACACTGCCATTACTCTCCTTCAAAATATTCTGCCTTTCCTTAAGCATGCTTAGTTCATAGTTCTTGCCACTTTCTTAAGCAGTCCTGGAAGTCCCTTTTAGTGAGTGTCTTTAGTTGAGCTGTCATGGTTGCATCTATTTCTTGAATGGATTCAAAATGTTTAACTTTCATAGTCATTTTGATTTTAGGGAAGAGTCCTAGGTGGCATGGTGCCAGATTCAGTGAGAGGTGGACTAGGACACACCAGAATGTTTTCATGAGCCTGCCTTTCTTGTGGATGACACTGGGCCACAACATTTAAGTATTTCACAGGTATATTAATTTCTAAGATATGGCCAAGTTTAGATAAACAAGGCTAAGAACAGTAGGTTTTGAGACAAAGGCAAGTCATAAGATTTAATTGATGGATGTATTAAGATCATTTTAGCAAATCAGAATTCTTTAAAACTTGTCATAAAAGTTTTTGAAGTATCATAATCTAAAGGTACATGGACCCTTGACACCCTTGACTTATGAACTCAATTCATTCCCAAGAGCTGGTTGTAATTCCAGTTGGTCAGCTGCCTTCAAAGTCTCTCCTGTATAATTTTAAGCCACATTTTTTTCCAGGCAGATCTCAGTGTCCTTAGAGAAACAGTGGCCCAAGATTTCTCAATTAACACCATACTGGAAAGGATTTTGTAATGTTCCCTTCAGAACTCTTTAAGGGTTAAATCTGTATCTGAGACCACCTGGAAGTACAAGAGGCCAGCATCTGGGTCATAACTCAAGACGTTGTAAGTTAAAATTACAGTGGTAACCCAAGTTGTTTGTATGTCAGGCTGGCATACATAGGTCCATGGGTCCATTGTACTAAAATTGATGAAAATAAATTTCTAAAAGGTAATTTATTGCATTATATACTTTGAGACCAGAACATACATGTTTTAATCTGTGGACATCTGTAGCTTTTTACACTGACTAGGCTCCTTACCTTATAGGAGCCTGGTCTGCAGTGGCTGCAAACAGCAGCATCCTTGGTAGTGTACTTAGTCTGTTGCTTATTTGGGTTGCCCTAAGGGTTCACTGGAGACAGGGCACTTCAGTGTACCTTCATGTCTTTGAACTTGGGTTGCTTCCAATATAGGGCTCCAAACAGGTATGCGTGTTGCTTTTAGAAAACCCTAAGCTACAGATGGCAGGAATCACATTGGCCAAGCTATTATGCCCATCTGCATCAAACTGCAGAATAAGGAGCATATGATTGATACCCTAGGCAAGGTCCAAGTTCAAGTTCTCTGGTCACCAAAGGTGACATCTCAAAGTGGGGCTTTACCAAGTTTAATGCAGATGAACTGGAAGACATGGTGGCTGGGCAGAGACTCATCCTAGATGTCTATAGTCAGATACATCCCCAGTTGTGATCTCCTGGACAAGTGGCAGGCCCTGCACTTGTGAGTATATCCATTGTACTTCCCTTGCTTAATTGTACCCATCAATAAATCCTACTTCCTACTTCCTGTCCAAAAAACATAACAAAACAAAAAAAACAAATGAATACATCTTGATTACTATGATGAAGGTCCACAGTCTACTTGAGACAGTACAGAAAACATGAAACAGATGATGATGTGAAGCGACATATAAAAAGTAAAACCAGAATTCCACACTAGCTGTGTAGGTGTTCCTTAAGTCTCAGCCCCACCCCGACCCACCCCTTTGCACACATACTCCTTTAGAGCATTTACCAGGTTAAACACCTTCTTTCCAAATCTATAGCTCCAACTTCTTTCCCTATTTTCATGCCTTGGTATTTCAATGTAGATTTCTATCACATTACACACTTCAGTCACACTACTTCAAAACTGATGATCTTTTTCTAGTGATCAGTTAGTGACATTAAATATTCCACTACCTGTTAGGATCCTAACTTGTTTCCAGTGTCTTTATATTTCAAATATTTTTGCTCTCAGCTTTCTCAGTGTCCTTTGATTGTGGTTAACTTGATCTGTTTCCAGCCTTCCTGTTTTATTTAGTGCTTATTTGATATGTTATTTAGTGTTAATAGCAACAGAAACATGTGTTTTGAAGTGAGAAAGATCAGTATTTGAATCTTGTATATTTTTCTAGGTTGGTCACCTCACTGTGAGTAAAAGGGTTTCATATATTTTCACATTTGCTTATTCCAGTTGCTCTACTTGAAAAGTATTTCATTTTGTAGATGATCTTTTCTTTCAAATGTCTTTTCTTCATTAAAGTTTTCATGATAGCCCCAAACTAAAGTGATACCTACTTCAGAATACATCTTATCTCTTATTAAGTTCATACCTTTTATATGCTTCCTTGTATATATTTTATAGGTCCTATTTCCCCCACTGTTAATACACTGTAAATCTCAATGACACATTATATAGCTGTGGCAGTGTCAAAAATATAGATTGGGAATAACAGAGAACTAAATTTCAGTAGTACTTTACACTAACTGGAGTGGTACTACCCAGGTAAGACTGAGCCATTGTTTTTTGGGAATAACCCTAATATGAGTGGAATCCCAGTGGCCATGTTTCCTATGTGACCTTCACCTCTTTCCTTAAAATATTACTTCAAGAGTGGGAACCTAGGGGCCGGGGATCTAGCTCAGTGGTTCAGTGGCCTGCCTTGCAAGCGCAAGAACCCGAGTTCAATCCCTGGTACCAAAAAAAAAAAAAAAAGTGGGAACCTGACCCCAGTTAGGCCAGAATCCCTGGGGTGTTCTTAACTCTGAAGCTTAGGTACTGCTGGCATTCCCACTGGTCTGCAGCAAGACAGAAAAACAACAAAGAAAACAAATATTTGAAAAACATGAGCAATCTCAGCTTCCCTGGTAACAGGTATCTTTGAGAAGCACTTGTATTGCTGCCCTTGTGGCTCATGTCATACCCCACTATACTTGAAATAAATATTGCCTTTTTCCTATGCTATTTAAAACAATGATGCTATTACTTGCAAACTCGACTCACATAAATCCTAAATTCATTTTGTATTAGCTGTTGCTATGTGACTTTTCTCTCTTTAATCTGTTTGTTTATATATAAAAATTGAGATTATTCCCATTCAACATCATTTTCTTTTTAGTTTTAAAACACTTATTTTAATATTTGCAAACAAATTAAAGATATATTTATTTCAATACATTCTTTGGTTTCAGAAGTTACCTAAAGAGATATGATTAGAGACAACTACTGATATTGATGTAGTGATTGAATAAAAATTCAATGCTTAGTTTATTTTATTCAACATCTTTATTAAAGAATTGAGAGATAAATGAAACATCTAGGTGTAAATTATGGTATATACTGATGTTTAATAAATTACTAGTTTGCTTGATTATCTTTGTAATCTTCATAGCACCAGACAATGAGATTTATATTGAGAAATATTTAATAAGTATTTATAAATTGATAATCTGGTAAACTTTAATTTTTTGTTGTGGTGGTGGTAGTATTGGTATTAGAGATCAATACCAGGGCCTCACATGGTAGGCAAATGTTCTACAACTGAGTTTTATCCTAAGCCTGATAATCTGGTAACTACTGTATTCTTAAATGCTGAAGCCTCTTAAGGAAATATATTAAGAGAAATTGTATATGTGGATTCAAATAAAAAATGATGGTAAACATTCTAAAAAATAAATATTTTTATTTAGAAAAGTGATATGTAGAAGGCAAACAGATCAACTATAAGAAGACAAAGTGTATCTCTCCAACAGATTTTCAAACAAAGCATGATAGATGGAAATAATGAGAGATATTCCATTCAGTACTATACAATGCATGCTTAATGTACTTGAAATGTTTATTTTCCAAATAATTTAAGATTCCTTACAGATATTCATAGGTCACATTTTTTTTCTTTTTAAGCACAAATATCTTATTTCCTTTTGTCTCTGTTTAGCCAGGAGAAAACTTAGAAAACAGCTATCCTAAGATCCTAACAGATGTCCCAAGAGATCACTACTTGATGGACTTCAAGCCTTGTAGTAGGCAAAACAGAAATCTCAGAATATGGTTATAAAACTCCATTTTGAATAAATGTACAAAATAAAATCAAGTTTTACTTGTACATTGGATTCTGGAAACAAAAAAGCAAACAGGAAAAATTATCCTGAAAACCACTCATAGTCTTTGTTCAGAAGTCCAGAGAGTAGGTTGTTTTGGAGACAGTCTCACCACATAGTTTAGGCTAGCCTTGAACTCATGGCAATATTCTTGCGTCAGCCATAGTGCTATGATTACAGGTGTGTACCACCTTGTCAGGCCCAAAGGGCAGGTTTAGTGAAACTTACATTTTCTTTTAGACATAGGGTCCATTAGAAAACATAGCATTCATTCAATGTCCAATGCACTTCCCAGGTAGCTAATAAAGGATTCTATTAACTACTAATAGAAGCATCAAATTATGTAGTTTCTAAAAAAAAACCCTGTAACACAGTCTACATTCTTACAACGTATTTTTTTCTAAATATGACTCTTTTATAGTAAATAATGTTTAAAAGATGATGTGAGTCAAGCTGCCTCTATTTGAATACCAACTTCACCATTTCCTAACTGAATGGCTTGAATATAATATTTTCTATGCCAAAAAGTTGTTGGATTAAATGAGATAATGCATATATAAAGTACAGAATATGTGAAACCTTCACTGTTAGTAACTTATTATAATTATTATGATTACTATTATTAGTCATAATGAAAGAGAAATAGGGTTAATAGCTTGATGTGTAGTTATGCATAACTGGTTTATGGGTCTGGTTCTGTCCACAAAAAGGGGAAATGAAAAACAAGCCTGTTTGAAACAGACAGCATAGACCTTGAAGGTTGAAAAGAATTCTGTTCAAATTACAGTAAAATCCACAACTTTTAGCAGCCAGAAAACACTACAATTCAGAAATATAAAGGGAAGATACAAGAAATAGGAGGCAGGCTATTAGAACTCAGACTATTCACAAGGAAAGGCCTAAAAGAAGGATAAATATTCCCTTGTTAGGCAGCTTGAGACCCACCCAGTTTTTTGGTTTTTTTGGTATTGGGGATTGAACTCGGGACCTTGTGCTTATGAGGCAAGTGGCAGCACCACTGAGCTAAATCCTCAGCCACCCCAGCTTTTATTCTTAAAGGATTTCTGTGGCTAGGAACAACAAGTTAGGCATTGTTCCATTTTTAAGGTTCCCCGTTAAAGAGTAGACATTGGTTAACTAAGAGAAAAAGAATGAAATATATTTCCTTTTTTAAAATATTTGATTCTAGTTACTTATGAATAAAAAGATTAAAATACCCTAATTAAATAATTTAACAAAGCTAAGGGCAGAGAGCGTTCTTATGCCCATAGGAAAAGATCTATTAATAGTCATAACTGATTCATTTCAGAGTAACTGCATATCAAAAAATGATAATACACTGAAAACCATTTTAAAATGTGTGTCTTATCACTACATCCTTATCCTTTTCCTATGTGCATATGTTGATATGGGTATACTTAAGAAAAATCAGCGTAATTAACTAAAAAGTATACTTCCCTAAAAGAAAAGTATATTTGTTTCTAGACCCAGTTCTGTTCTATATGACTCTCTCTGAATCTGAAGATTTTAATCTGTAAAACAAGAATATTTAAGTATCATTTGGAACTATATGCCTGCAGGCTATTTTTCTTAAGTATTTTTGAATTTTTTGTTTGTCTATTTTTTTTTGGTACTGGGGATCAAACTCTGGTCTTTATGCTTGCAAGGCAGGCAGCAAAACCACTGAGCTAAATCCCCAGCCCAGGTATTTAGGAATTTAAAATCCAAATCATTTATCTAAAAAAAAAAGTATATAAAGCCCATGATCACTTTAGATATTATGTTCAGCAAATTAAACTTAATTTTCTCTTAAGAATTAATAAAATTGGGCCAGGGCTTTAGCTCAGTGGTTCGGTGGCCTGTGTTGCAAGCTCAAGAACCCGAGTTCAATCCCAGGTACCAAAAAAAAAAGAATTAATGAAATGGCAATGTGGTAGGTAGGGGAGAGGGACTGAGAGAAGGACAGCAACAGGGTGTGTGGGTGTGTGTGGGTGTGGGTGTGGGTGTGTGGGTGTGTGTCCTGGAGGAAAAGAAGCAGAAATTGTTAGAATCTTGTAATAATACTCAAGGTTTCATTTACTAAAAATATTCTTATACCACATTTTTAATAAGACAACTGCAAGGTAACTTGCTACTTCATATATCCTACTAGCAACTTTTAGTTTTTTAAATGTTTTGAAAAGCTCATGCACAAATTTAAAATTCAACTTCAAACATGATTGTTTCATTTTAACACAAACTTTAAATTATCAACTAGTGGCATATGATCATTTTCTTTTTAAAAAAATCTCTAGTTCTTAATAATATACTATTGTTCTTTACCCAAGTTTTTAAATGGCTTAATATTTTTACACAATTTTTAAAAATATATATAGTCCAAACTTCTTCTAATCAATTTTCTTTCTGTTCTCCCTCTTTCCATTTCAATTTCTGTATTAGGAAAACTTACCAAATACAGTACATATCCCCATTCTGGAGCTGTGAAATAAGAAAGGATTCACAGAGTTGCAAAGCTAATATAGTCTTGCCTTCTTTTTCAGTGTTACAGATGATATCAATTCCACTCTTACAATCAGTTTTCAATAAATGCTGTAAGAGGAATGAAACAGTTAATTCACATCATTATCTAAAAAGCTAGTTATAACAAATGTTTAAAGTAAACATTTAGAAGAAAGCACATAGTTTTCTAGAAAGACATGATGAATTGTACAGACTGTGTCTCTGGTTTCAGTTTCACTATATAGCACCTACATTTTATAGTTAGCAATTATTTTCTCATTAATACCATATTCTTACATAGGGTCTAATATTAGGAAAGGATTCATTCTTTCATCTGGGAAAAAAATATACATGAGTATTTAACTTCTTAGTACTTTGAGGCAAAATGATAATGCTTCCCAGGTTTTATCTAACCTCTTCTGTCACATCAAAAATTTGAATGTTTCTTAATGAGCATATTTTATTAATTTTATCACTTGTTAGTTCAGATTGTACTTTAAAATGAACTTAAAGAATGCTGCCAAAAGAGCATATCTAAATAATATGATCTTTTAAGTCACTGGTATTACTGTAAAAGGAAATCATAACAACAAGCTGTCCCCCTTTCCGGTAGTGTTAAATGGGTAATAGGCAAAAAAAAAAAAAAAAATAGTTCTCAATACCTGCCGGAATAACTGATCTTCTACAGGTGACATAAACAGACATGTGAAAAGTGCTTGATGGAAGTACAAATCTTTACTGATTTCTGGGTGATTTATACAGGATTTAATAAGAGCCATTGCTTCAGGTATGCGTTCACAAGCAATTAGGTATCTGGCACGTAGTTCAAAGAACAGTGGATTTTCAGAACTTAAATATTTGTTCACTACATTAAAAAGAAAACAAATTCTATTACTCTCAAGAAAAGATTCCAACTTTATTATTTGAAACTATCACTAAAATTATATCTAGTTAGATTAATGAGCTATTAAATTAACTACTTTTCTTAGCAGAACTTTGTAAAAAGAATATTCAGTTTTATGGTTGGGAAAATAAAAATAAGAATGACACTAAACAGTGCTCAAGAAAATCTTTTGATTTCTTCTCAGTTTAAAAAGTAAAAAGCTAAAATTTAAAAAAGATTAAATGAAATTTTCTTCAATATGTTAAACTGTGTTAACAATATGTTAAATATGTTTCAACAGGTAAGCTCTAAGGTTATTTTCTAGTTTATAATTACATACTTTGTCTTCTTTTGACCCAGTATTTTCATTACTGTAAAAGGCTGAACCCAAATGATCACATTAAAACCACATTCAGATTATTATGGAGAAACGTAAAGGAAATTAATGAAACAGTTGAATCATAATATATTTTATTACTTTTTAAAATAAAATTAAACAATAAATAGTGTCAAGTAAAACTGTTATATATTCATGTATCACTAAGGCTACTTTAACTTTTACTTACTTCACACACTTTTGAAACATATAAACACCCTTAACTATATAAATTTACTTAGACCTAACAACAACCTTATGACCGGTATTAATATTTGTCTCACAGATCACAAAACTGAATCTCAGAGAGGTCAAATAACTTGCCCACAGACAAAGAATTTATAAGTGGCAGAGCCAGAACTGGAATCCCTATTTTATGATTTTTAAGTCCAAATGTGTTACTTACTTATCTGTATTTAATCAATAGCTACTGAAGTGCTTATGAGTAGTGTTTTATTTTGTTTTAAGCATCTGCCCTTGCAATTCTGTTTACAGTATATAATAATCAAACACTGATTTATAGTTAATGCAGTGATAAACTTCAAGCAGGTCTCTACCCTAATGATCACTAACTACGGAAGTCATCCATATTAATGACAGTCTAGAGCAGCTTTCCCCAAAGTGAGGTATGCTGGGTAGTTAAGAGAGAAATATTCATTATTTTAATGATTCTCAGCCTAAAGGACCAGACCAACCGACAACAGGTTTACTCTAGTTCCTACTCAGAGAAGCCTTAAAACTTTTATAAAGATTTAAGTTTCTTCAACTCCTTTTGAAGCTCTGGGTCTACCTTCTATTCCATCTGGCCACAATTCCCAGTATCCTCAGTTTCCTCCAGTCTATGATTCTTGCCTTTGTTATATTTCATTTTTTTCTTACTTTTGCTCAATAATCCTTCTGTTCTTCCTCAGCTCTGTCTCCCTTTTTATTTTAAATCCCCTTCCAAGAGCTACATATCAAGCGTCAGTCTCCTTTGCACTCTCTGAGTTCTCCATAGTTGTCACATAATCCTTAGTCTTTTTCAGTCTTATCTGACCTGCATGCTGTCCCACCACTTTGCACTGGTACTCCTAATCTTCTGTCTTCATCCTCCCACTATCATAGCTCCAAACTTGTTGGGAGGTTTGTTCTTAACCCTGAGAATCATAGCTTCTTCTCCACTTAGCTCCTCTTAAAACCCACCCTATTAATCTAGAACAAATTCTAACCTGTACAATCTAGGATGTAAAGAGTTTTTCTTACCTACTAACTGGTAGAGTTGCAAGGTCTTACATTTTCTTTTTAGATTCCTTTCAGCTGTACCTCAGTAGGCTCTCTCCATACTCTCAAGTGTTTTCTACATTTTAATTCTTATTTGCTACTGCTGAACTAAATTTTTGTCACTCAAAATGTTCTGAAGTTTAGAATGTTTTAATAATATTGGAAACATGTTTTCAAAGGGATTATTAGAAGCAAACAAAGTTTCCTGCCTCAAAAAACAAATTTTGTCCCACAAGGATCTACAGCTGACAGAGGTGATGTCAAAGGGCATAGGTAATAAGGGATGAGACAAAACTTAGCTTCTATTGGATCAAGTTTGGGACACACCATAGTATTTGGAATCCAAATTTATTTAGTCACTCAGACATTCACCTTATGGTCAGTCATTCAATCAATGAATACTTATATTAAACATCTACTTTGCACTGTGCACGGAAATAACTACAACAGACAAGAGCAGTAACAAAAGAGTTCTACCTCTCACAGGAGCTTCTATGGAAGGGAGATACCATATGCTTTCATGAACAGGGCAGGTTTTTTGTTTCGTTTTGTTTGAGGGGTGTTGTTTTTTTTGCTTTTTTTTTTTCTGCTTTGTCAAATAAGGATGTTCCTACTTAAACAAATTTTTAAAATATAACTGAAGTGATAAAAACCCCCTCCCTGCAAATAAGTGACATCGAGTACAGATGTTAACACACTCAATTCCCATACTAGAAATAAATGTACCTAATTTGATGTAAAAAGTCATTTTTGGCCCAATTAATATTACAAACATTCTTCATTTAAAAGTACATTTCATTATTCAGTATTATAAAATTAAAAAGTAACTATTACTGCTCTAGAAATTGTTTTTACTTCTCACAAATGTTGGTTTTGATTTTAAATCTCCTGAAGTACCTATCTCCTGAGATGCTGGCTGGGCTTTAAGAACAGCTTGCAACACTGGATCTTCCCATGGGCCACCATCTCTAATGATTCGAGTCACCAGTTCCAGATTCACATTTCCATATCTGCGGAGGTGATTCTGGCATTCCTAGGAGAGAAAAATCATTTTGGCTTTGTGAATTTAAAGGGGTTAAAAGCTAAACTTGATCATCATTGTCAATAAAATGATGGCCAAATGAGATAACTACATAAAAGAGAAAGGGATACTATTGTAACCTAGCCAGGGTGACAAAACCCCATTAATACACAAATAGGCTTTAATGCCAAAGGTTACACGTATGTATATAATTGGATTTAGAAAATCCCATTTAAAAAGGGATGAAGTGTAACCTAAGAAAAAAACTTTAAAAATGCATACTTTGTAGGAAAAGAACCAGGTTGCAAAAAACTGAAAATTAAATGTTCAGTTAAATTTACATGAGGACTCATAAAGTTCCTGTTCACAGTGGTAGACTAGAGACTAACTATAAGAAAGGGAGTAAGGTGGGCCCTCCTCCTTATGCATACTCTGGATGGTATGTAGGCACAATTCCCCTGCCTTGCCCTTAATTTATGCCAAATCCATAATATAGACAGCTGGAATGTGGAAAATTCTGCTCACCCTTTTTGGGTAATGATTTAGGGATGAAAAAATGATATGTTGAAGAAATAAATCTAACCCATAATATGAATGGTTTGTATCAGGTTTAAAGATAAAGACAGACTGATAAACCAAGTGACAACTAACAATTTGTCTGCATTTTGGGGCTTTGTAATTACAAAGGATATGTAGTGTTTTTAAAGAATCTGTTTTTCATTATCATAAGATTTTAACAAGTTTAAAATTCAGGAGAACTTGGTTTGAGTCTAATACATTTGACTTACTAGATTTAAGTTTACACGATTTATTTAGTTTGATGTTACAGTTTAGATCTAAAATATCCCCCCAAAAGTCTTGTGTTCAGAGGTGGGGCTTTTAGAAGGTGACTGGAGTGGGGCTGCTACATGCATGAATGGATTAATCCAATGATAAGTTTATAGTTGACTGCTGTTGAGAGGTGGGGCCTGTTTTGAAGAGGTAGGTCATTGGGGGCATAACCTAGAAAGGTATATTCTTGTTCCAGCTCTTCCTCTTGCTGCTGAAGCTGCCTTGAGGTGAACATCATTCCTCTCTGCCTTGCCTTTCTGCCATTCTGTTCTGGCTTGGAGGCAACCAACCATAGACTCAATTCTCTGAAAACCATAAGCCAAAATAAACCTCTCCTCCTTTAAGTTGCACGTATCAGGTATACTGATTGTGCCTTCTGATTCATTATGTATCTTGTTAAGTGTTATTTTTATAATGTTTCAGGAAATTCAGCGTGACCTTATAAAGAGATTAACTGAAGGTGTAGTGAAAGTATTATTTTTAAAAATACTAAGTTGAACTTGAAACCTAAAGAAATACTAGATAGACAAAGTTAAAATTTTAAAATAATAATTGTATATCAAAACAAAAAGTCAGAATTTCTGTGTTCACAAAATACCTTAGACATTAAAAGCTTTGTAGCAGTTATAAAGCAAACCCTCAGGATAAAAAAATACATCTTAAAAATTTTTACTTATTAAATAAGTGATCACAGTATACAGAGGCTATAAATTTTTTGAGTTAAACTGTCATATTCTTCCATAATTTGAACACTCCATTTTAGACTATAAAGTGATTTATATATGGCATTTGACTTCCTGGTTAAAATACACAAAAGAGGACATTTTATTTATAAGAGAACAAGATAGAAGTCAAATTTTAAGAAAAAGAATCACCAGGCAAATGAAAGAATCATTAAGTTCAAATATGAAAATAAGTTACCTCCTAATAGTTATTTAAGGGTGTCCCCGTACTAAAGCAAGCACGCAAACAAACAAAATACCTATAAATAATGGGCAAGTTACTTAACCTCTCTGTGGTCCCCATCAGGTCAATTTCTCTGCAGAAGCTAATAAAAAGCACCTTAATAAAAAGCACCTATTCATAGGATTGTTGTGAGGATTAGATAATATACAGTATTGAGAAGTGCTTGGGATAGTAGCCTGACACATAGTAAGCACTTAATAAACATTAATTTTAGTTCTTTTAGTATTTTTTTTTAACATTTTGAATATTTTTCTTTAGGACACCCAGTCACCTTAGTATAATTTCCATATGATTTCGGCATTCCCATATGGCACCACGTTATTGCATTCATAAAAACTTAAAAGTAGGTATAAAGTTTCTGATCAGCCAGGATTTTTTTTAGCATACATGGAACATAGTGATGATCTATAATAGCACCTTCATTGTTTAAATCAATCATCAATTTATATTTATCCACATTTTTTGTTTTTTGGTACTGGGGATTGAACTGAGGACGACCTTGTGCTTACTAGGCTGGCGTGGTGCTCCTAAACTAAATCCCTGGCCCTCAATCATCAATTTAAAACCTGACATGGTAAACAAACTCCCAAATTACTCTACATATATACAAGTATATTACTGTCCCTAAAATTCAAATACTATAAGGTGGTTTGGGTCCAATCGAAGCATATAAGGTAAGCTGGACACAAGTGGAGTCATTGGTTAGCTTTCTTCTGTTGCAAAATCTGAGGTACCAATCACGTAAGCCATTAATTCTGAGAGACTCAAAACTGTACTAAATTTGGCTGAAAACAATAAACAGTTGAAATTTTTGTTAAACTGAGTGTATTCCAATTTAGATCACTGAATATCAATTTTAGTAGGAAAGCCCTTGAGATCTGTATTTAACCGCTTACCAGTCCAATTATGTAAATATAGGATGACCAAAAATTGCATATTTTTGTTAATTTTATAAGATACTATAACAGGAAATATAAAAATAACAGTTCTATCAAATTTATTCAATACAAAAATCGACTGGTTGGAGCCGGGGTTGAGCTCAGTGCTGTCGCACCTGCCTGGGCAAGCGCAAGGTCCTGAGTTTGATCCCAATTAAAAAAAAAAAAAAAGAATCATCTGGTTGAAAGGACACCTGCCCTAGTGACACTTGGTATAGTACATAAATAAGAATGCTGCCTGAAGGCCGGAGATTTAGCTCTGCAGCCTGCCTCGCAAACATGAGGTCCCGAGTTCAATCCCCAGTACCAAAAAAAAAAACTCCACAAAAAATAAGAACAGTGCCTGAGTGACTGCTCAGGGCAAACTATTAAGTGGTTAACAGTTCCCAGGTAACTTTTGGATAGTTCAGTTATTTTTAAGAGATAGGATCATGTCACATTGCCCAGGCCCACCCTGAACTGCTAGCCCAAGTAATCCTCCTGCCTCACCCTCCCTGCCCAGTACCTGGGACTACAGGCATGTGCCACTGTGTCTGGTAGGTTACTTTTTTGACTGTATTGCATATATTTTTTTGACTGAGTACTCCATAGACTTTATTATAAATTATATATTTACTTCTGTCTATGCTATTAAAATTAGTAAATTAATTTATGTTCATTTTTCTATTTTTCTAAGGTAAAAACTATCATTGAGAGTTTGGTCTTTGTGTTTATGCATTTTTTGGGTCAATACATATTTTGGAGACGACTCCTACAGCAAATAGCTCTAGATGGGAAAGAGAAATGAAGTAAAGATTTTATGGTGGTCTACTTAACAAAAAGAGCAAATAAATCTGATAATTATTTTTACTCCTTCCTTTTTTAAGTAATATGACTTGTTTGAGTGCTATTCAATTTAATATCTCCAGAGTAAGTATTGAAGTACTTAAATTCACAATAGAATTTACAAGTTATTCACTCCTAGAGAATCATATATATGCACACTGTGTATTTTTTAAATGTTTAAATAAATTTGATGTGTGTATTGACTTAAGCCATCGATCTACCACATTATTGTACCTACTGCTCTGTGCTAAATATAATCCCTTTAAACACTTCCATTCAATCCTGTATTTGCCAATCATACAGAAAAAGCATAACTCTTTACCTTACTCTTCTTTGAAAATCCACTGTGGAGTGGGCTTAATATTTTGCCCCCAGAAGGAAGGTTTCTCTTTCTTCAAATGGATGCTATTTTTTTAAAGGAGGTAACAAATATTTGTAAATCTGTGTGGACACTTCAACACTTCAACCCTTTACCAGCTTATCATAGGATGAAACTCCTACTACCTTAATCTCATGCTTAATAACTTCCATCTATCAACTCATTCACCTATTATTACAAACTACAAATTCTTTTGTCTAGACTAGCCTGTCACATCACCCAAACTCATCTTGTATTTTCTTGCCTATGCATTTTCTTTCTTCTACAACTTCCATACACTTTGTAGCCTCCCCTAGTTACTTCCATCCATAAAAAACTTACTTGTTCTCTTGCAGTATTAAAAATTTGAAGGATCAATTCTTCTCATGCATTTCATAGAGATGGCCTTGTGTTATTATCTTAAATTTTAACATCTTACTTTCTTGCATAAATAAAACCTTTTCCAAATGGATCCAAGAAAGAAAAGGTATGCTTATAAAGGTATATTTTGATTAAGATAGTTTTATAAAAATCTATGTAGTAAGTGGAAGCACTGTGGAACATCTGTCTTATTTTGAATGAAATACAGATTCTAGAGTACAATTATAATACCACATATCAAATTCATTTATAAGTATACTCTAGGAAATCAAAGCAAAAATATAAAAGGTCCTCAGTATGGTTCATTTTATAAAAGCAAAGCCTTTAAAATACAGTAAAATCTTTTCTAAATAGTAAGCCAGGAAGGCCAGGGATTTAGCTCAGAGGTTTGGTGGCCCGGGGTTCAATCTCCGGTCCAAAAAAAAAAAAGTAAGTCAGGCATGGTGGAGCATACCTGTAATCCCAGTATTCTAGGAGGATGAGGCAGGAAGACTGATTTCTAGCCCAACCTGGGCAACTCACTTAGTGAGACTTTTGTCTCAAAATTATCCAAAAAGGGCTGGGAACGTGGCTTGGTGCAAAGGCCCTGGGTTCCATCCCAAGTACCACATAGTTTTACTTTTAGATAGAGGGAACAGCTATATGAAAAAATTAACCACTTTTCACAAGTGTTTAAAAAGAAACTAACTTGAAATGAATATCTGGACGTGTAT